AATTGACGTGTCATTCCGAATAAATCTTTTAGTCGTTGATGCCAATACTGTGGACTACCTCGGACAGATTGAAAATGACGATATATCATATCTTTATTCATTAGAAATTTCATTTGCATTTCATCCAAACTTTGTTTGGCACTCAATGGTAACTTTTTTCGGAAAGCAATATTAATTCCGGAGTACACTTGTTTTAAATCGCCTAAATACTGTAGATAAAAAATATAACTTGAATCTGCAGCAAAGCGAGAATCTGATGAAAACAAACGTGCTTTACAATATTCTTTCCATTGTAGATTTGTTTCACGTTCTTCATCGTATGAGCCTTGTCCATCTGGAAATAAATGAGGAAAAGCTAAAGCTTCAATTGTTTTATCTGTTAACAATGAACTCAATTTATTTTTTTCTGCTGGTGCCACTACATATGGATCTTTATCGAAGACTAAAAAATCATTAAAATCACATGGTTGAGTACATGAATCTGTACCAATATTATATTTAGTGCGAATATCTTTATCATCTTCATCGATTTCTTCATCACTATTAATAGTATTATCAACATCACCCAATGCTAATGCTTTCATACGATTTTCGTTAGATAATTGTGTTTCTTCAATGATATTTTCTTCTGAAATTGTATCAACATGCATTGGTTCAACTACTGATTCATTATTATTTTCGTCATTTTTTACTTGATCAGATGTAAGATAATTTTCATGAATTTCATTTATCTTTATATTTTTATAGGCTGGATGCATTTTAGTTAAAACAAAAAGTGCATCTCTTACATCATTTGGGTTTATTAATTGTTCTTCCCATATAGCTTTATATTTTAATCGTCGTTTTAATTGCAATCGAACCATCATAGATTTATCAACTGGACGAGGCAATGTGGTTACAGTATCTTGTACATCAGATGGTACACAATGAAGTGGTCCTTTAGTACCTTTTTGTGCTAATCTACTTGATAATTTACCTGATGTTAGATTTACAATTTTCAAAAATGGTAATCGGAGAGCAATCAAATGTTTTTCAAGATTATTCAATTGTTTTAATTCAGATGGAATTTCACTGACTTCAAGCTTATTGATGATTGCTCGACTTGGCATTTGTTGTTTTTTTATTTTATCCGAGCATGATTTACAAATCCATTTTTTTCCCGTTAAACAAAAATGCTCATTCAAGTAAGATCTAATACGTTCTTTTACTTCATATGACATACTTATTTTAATATATTTTTCTTTTATATAGGGTATGACTTGATTACGAAACAATGATAACCGACATACTATGCAAATATAGTCTGGTCCTTCTCGATTTTTTTTTCGAAATAAGCTTAAGTTATTAACGTATAAGTTTCTATGTTTAACTAGACAAATATGACTTTGAAGAACGTTATACTTATTTAAAATACGTCTACTTTGAATATAAAGTCGTCTTTGTATTTGCATCATCGGTGTGTAGTTTTTTTTATAAGAATTCAATGCCTGTGAAATCAATCTCAATCGTGTTATTTGATTAGAATTGTATTTTGCCAATACATTAGCTTTATGTGTATTACGAAATTCCATATTACTATGGTATTTATTTGAAATATAAGTTTTCGATCGCTGTTTATATGTATTACGAAATTCTATATTATTATGATAATTATTTACAATAAAAGTTTTCGACCGCTGTATTTTTTCTTGACGAAATGTAACATATTTTCGATATTTTTCTAACTCATGTGTTCTTAAACGAGTTTTTTCTTTCTCACGAAAACTACTGTTATTCGTATATTTTTTTTGGAATATTGCACTTACACGTTCACTTTCTCTTTTACGAAATAAATTATCCTGTGAATATTTCTTATGAAACCAAGATGACTGCCTGGTACATTTTAAAACTGTTATGTCCCTACAGATAGTAGTATTTGATGAGTCTTTTTTTTTCCTAATTTCCAATTGTCGTTTTCGTTCATAATCTAGTCGACAAACTTTTGAAACCAGACTTTTTATAGTAGCCTGAATAATATTCAAATCTTCTAAATGATTTGTAGCATCAGTTTTATTGACAAATGTAAATTCTATATCTTTCTGAACAAAACTAACATTATTCAAAAATATTTTATTTGATTGTGAAGTGTTTAAATCAGACGTTGAACAAGCAAGTGCAATATCACAACGTCTAAAACGTAAAAATTTATTAACAGCTGTTACAATTAAAAGTAATATGCGCCACGAACGACTAACACAATCTTGACTTTTTTTTCGTTCATAAGCTCTTTTACGTGTTCTTGCTTTAGCTGCTGTTGATTTTTTACGAACCATTTTAGTTCTAATAAAATGTGACGAAAGAAAATCGTTGATGTCTACAACGGTGATAGTTTCTATATGAGAATAAGATCGTATATAAACAAAATGCGTCTTAATCTCCTTAGTGAGAAACTTGAATATCTGTTTACTTGGTGAGATAATTCAAATAAAAAGTTTCTTTCAAGTTATATCTTCTTTAAAACTAAGCGAAGATAAACTCGTCAATAAGCAAGAAACTTTAGAAAGTCAAAAAATTAGGCGACTTTCTTTAAATTATGTTTTTTTTTAATTATTTTATTATTATTGATTTAAAAGAAAAGTTTCTTTTGAGTTAAAACTTCTTTGAAAATAGGCGAAGATAAACTCGTCAATAAGCAAGAAACTTTAGAAAGTCAAAAAACTAGGCGACTTTCTTTGAATGATGTTTTTTTTTATTATTTTATTATTTATGAATTAAAAGAAAAGTTTCTTTCGTGCTGAATCTTCTTCAACACTTGATGAAGATAAACTCGACACTTGGTAACAAATTTTCGAACCAACACTTGATGAAGATAAACTTGACACTTGACAACAAATATTCGAAAGTTAATAATATAAGTAATTTCCTTTAAATGATTTGTTTTAATATTTTATTTTTTGTTTGATATAAATTACGATGTAAAAATCTAAAATGAAATGAATACATATTATTAAAAATATTAAAAAACGAAATTCAAATATTTTCAACAGAAAATTATAAGGAAAAACAATTTTTTTTCTAGTAATCTAATTAGGTTGGATAGACATATTGTCATAAATAACTATGAAACCTCCATAAGAACTTAGAGACAATTTTTTTTCTAGATGTCAGATATTTACATTAATTCATTAATTATCTTTGCGATCACTTTATTATTATCAGCTGAGTTACAGCTGTAAAGAATCGCTTTGATTGAACGAAGAGACTTGCGGCTAACTTTTCTTGGTATCTTTTAATTATCTCGTATATAAAATCTTTCAAATTCGTCTTTTTTCTAAATTATTTATTATTCAATGATACGTTCTAGTAAAAAAAGAAAAACGAATTTCAACGATTTGATCTTGACACTTTCATCTCGCGTTTAAACTTTTTTTTTCTGTTTTTCCGTTCTCGAGATCATCGCGACACAAAATGACTACTTTTGATGCGTACGTCAAGTAAGTAAGAAAAAAAGAAAAAAATACGCGAAGGACTACATAAATGCTCTGCTTCGCACCGCATTAATTATTTAAAATGCAGCGAAGCATATTACAGTGGTCGTAAAAAGTCCTGCACCCAGATGAAAACTATTTAAATCTCAACCATTTGGGTTTATACTTTTACCATAGATAGAATTGACGAAGGAACATATCCAACTGTCGAATCGCTTTCGAGTCAAGAATAGACGCATCTTGTAGAGCTCAATGAACTATATCTATCCTGAAAAGAGTTCGTGTCCATGGCC